TCACCATTACTTCCGAAAAGCGGCAAATTCCTTTGAGAATTCAGTACAAAACCTCTGATGCCGCGTTATCAAAGTACCGATGGTTAAAACAAAACTATGCATGCACTCTGTTTGATTTTAATGGATATTTTTTTATTCGTTATGTACGTTTATGGTATTGGTAATGCGTATAGGTCCAGTTTTTCATATTCTTTGATACAGTTTATTGCGTCTCATAGAATTCCTAAGCGTACCTATACACCGAACTGTTATACCTAACTACTCCATAAAATAGCGCTAAGTCCTAGCTGCAAGACGCAAGAGTCTTACCGGATTAGTCTTGTTCTTGCTCAAGTCTTGCACGGTCAGTCTTGGTCTTGGTCTTGCTAAAAATACGCGGTCTTGTTCTTGGTCTTGGTCTTGCAAAAATGCAGGAACAAGACCAAGACTGCAAGACCAAGACTGAATTTGGGCAACACTAACTTCAAGTCCGGAGACGGCCCGTATTTCTGCTTTTAATTAAGTGGCGTTTATTGTTGGGTCGCGGGCTACCAGCAACTTGATGTAGCTCTTCTGAGCAGCTGTCAAAACAGTTGGGCGACCGCTGCGAGGTCGATGCCGTAGTACCTCTGCAACGTGGTTACTACAAGGTTACTACACAGGATTGGGATATGACAACTCTGCGTGATATTTCTCTCGTAGAATAGTCTTCTTCCCTCAAAGTTACAATTCTGACTGGTAAAATATCTGATAATCCTCGTGGCATTTTTTAAATCACAACTTTCCGTGAAAAAATATTTTAAATTTGATAATATTAACTAAGTCGGATTTCTGAATGAGTTTCAGCTTGGATTGCATGTCTTTTTTTATGGAAAAACAATTGAATTATTTTATTGTTTTACGTCCTCATTCTAATTTTAAAATTTAGAATCTTATCAGAAAAAGAAATTACAAAAAACTCTTCTGTAACACAAAAAACAATTTATTTTTCAAAGTGATCGCAAACTTTTTTTGATGTGTGTATGTTTTACTAACTAGAGACACTTCTTTTGCGGGGAAGAATTGGTTGCCTAATATACAAACTTCATCCCTTTAAAGGATGATTTCTTGGATAAAACTATCCTGTTTCCCAAGACTCAACCTATATACTCTATACCAAAACTTTTGTAGGATAAAAACTTTTTTTTTATAGCCAGGTAGGCAAATGACTCTACCCCAGCTGATGTTAAGTGGTCATAAAGTCCAAACACAGAGATAGCGGCTGCAGCATAAACTGCTACACCAACCATCCTCCCCTTGCCAGCCTGCAAAAATGCTTCTTCACGCCTCATAAAGGAACCCAGATTGTAGTAAAGGAGGAAACACGTACGCGGGTAAAGAATTCCACTTACAAATAGTACGACAAAGAAATGAGTTACCAAATTTCATTGTTCTTGTAAGAATAGTGGCCACAGTAAGTCGGTGGCAAAGTAGGCCAGCGCGCGTGGTTCTCTGAAGAAAAGGTGGTGGAGGGGTAAGGGAGAATAACTCTTCAGAACACTCGCCATAGTAATATTAACTACCCTGTTCAGGAAACAGGATAGTTTATATTACCGATTAGATAAAATTTGGTGTAATAGCCAAAATACCAAATTTTATCTTAATCGGTTCAGTAGTCTAACCGGGAAGAGATAACAGACTGATACACTTTAACAGACAGATATACAAATAATATTAGTATAGATGTCACTCACCCGAATTATAAGTTTGCCCAAAATTTCCATATGAGTTTTGTGGATGTGTGAATAAAACATCAGACCTTTGCCAGGCTTGCAGTGGCCAAAGTAGTACTCGCTGTGAACGTGTACTACAATCATAAAACACGTTTTTTGACTTATTTTAGACTCGGCGCACATGTACGGTTTTCTAATTCAGATTTGGAATCCTGTGTGCCTAGCGCAGACGTTTTGCAGTTTTAAGCGCATATTCTACCTGACTAAATTCAGACGTTCTAAATCATTCAGTACCTAATTCATTCAAGTGAAATATCATTTAGGAAGTTAGAATCCTAGTTATCATCCTAAATCGGATGTGGTGTGGCTTCTGACTGATTAAATCATTTAGTATTCTAATAAGAAAGCGATTTAGGAACGTGTGATAGGGTTAAGATGTTTCAGTCGCACCGCAGGCGTCACTTCGTGAGGACGTTATTTTGTCGACAATTACGAATTACGTGAGTGCGCGATGTCGGAGCAAAAGAAAAAGAAGTTATGAGTAACATAATCGAATTGTAATGTAACATATGCCGTATCTTTGGAACAGTAACGATAAAAATAATATTAGTATTCTTCTTCTTTCACCCACGTTTTTCGTTTTTTACTTTATTTTATTTTTATTAAACCAACAGACAGGCCTACGAAAAGATCGGTTTTTTGTTGGATTGGTAGGACTGGAGCCATTACGAAAAAGTCCGGATGAATTCGCAGCGCGCTTGCAACTGACTGAATCAGTAACTAAATTAGTCAAGTGTAATTAGAAGCTGCTAATTAGCTTTCTTTTTAGGATCCTAACTAGGACGTCTGAATTTAGTCAGGTGGAATACGCACTTTATATTAGTTGGAGTCCGAACCGAAAGCTAGATGTTTTTTATGTTCTTAAAAAATAAGAATAGTGTGCGCTTCGTTGATTTTGTATGTATGTAAGAACGTGCATTCAGGTTTCCGAATCGGAATTACTGATCAAGAAACCGAATCAGAAAACCGTACAAACCGTACTTATTTTTTCAGAATAGAAAATAACCTAAAATTCTATTCGGACTTATTTTAATAAAAAAATCGAAACGTCTGCGCTAGCCTCACGGAATTCTGAATCTGAATTCCTGATCAGGAAACCGAATCAAGAAAGCGTAGGTACATGTGCGCCCAGTCTTAGTCATGTATGCCTAGTGCTAGATGGAAGCAAAATATATTACCTACTTAAGTTACTTTTAACGTATGATTCCATGGACACTATCACTTGACTACACTATTAAACAGGTTTATTAGAACGTTTACAAATTTTAAATGGTCATTATCGGGAAATTAACTAGCATTGACGTTTGGGATGTTTATTGGCAGTAAGGTCAGTTAAACATGAAAAGGTGCCGAAACATAAATTCGATAGGAAAATTTAAATATTATTTTAATATTAAATATTTAAATAGTATTATGGTAATGTGTGTCTTTTGAATATGTCTTTTGATTTCAGTGAAATTACATTTTTTAGTCAGCATAATGTTCTTGTAGTAAGGGTTTATAAGTTTGATGTTTAGAGGCAAGGTAAGCAAATGGAGAATGTTTAAGTATAATCACTCAGTCGACAGGTTACAGTAACCATTTATTAAAAACTAGCAGCCACCCGCGACTTCATCCGCGTTAACTTTAGTTTTTTGAAAATCCCACAGTAACCTCACATTTTTCCGATATACAAAGTATAAAATATGTCTCCCTCCATGTCATAAACTATATGCTTACCAAATTTCATCCAAATCCATTTAGTGGTTTTTGTGTGATTGAGTAACAAACAAATAAACACAGAAACATACAAACATACAAACTTTCAGTGTATATCTAGGTTTTTCAGTAAAATCATTAATGCTGACCAATTATGCTACCGCGGCCCTCACGGACCGCGTCGAAATTCTTTCTAGCTATTCTTAAGCTGCAAGGCAGCGCCATCTCTTCGCACTATAGGTAAACCCACGGTGCGGGTTCGAGTCCCGTCTGCTGCCTGGTCCGCGTGGAATTTTTTCTATTTATATTTTCTTTAGATTTAAACATCAAGCAGTTACATGCTTTAAAAATAATAAAAAATATAAAAATCATTAGTGGTTAAGAAAGAGTATGAATTCGTAACTAGAAGAATAAATAAAATGTTAGGCTTACTTACATTGTGTTTTAGCAGTACCAATTAGAGTGTAATCGTTTAAACTTGTATAAAATTGCCAACCAAACGCAGGGATCACTGTAAAAGTAATTATAAGTATATATATATTAGCATTAATTTCCCTCAAAGTGCCTTACTCGGAGATATCAATGAGTTTTGAAGTGTGATTATACTTTCTCTGATAACAATACATTAAGACAAGACGTCAATTGATCAAGCATCAAATTTAATTAAAGTCTCTGGAAGTGGCAGGAAGATTTCAACTACCAATCTACCTTCCGTGATAAAATATACCTACTCAAATCAAAAACTCTAGATAATAAAAAAATATTTAGTTTTTAAAGTCATTAAAATATACTATACTGTTGTTTTTACTATTTTTATATGATTTAGTTTGTTTCTTAAGACACTTAATTTCAATGGTATTATGAAATTTTAATAATCTTTCATAAATAACTAACGGCGTTCCAATTATATCAGTGCAATAATGAAAAACAAATCGAAAAATTGCAACAACAAGATTTCATATATCAATCTCTGCATAAGTTCTAATCTAAGTAAAGCATACGTCTTTTGTGATCGGTTTGGTAGTGATTAATGACAACATTACTACGTAGTTGAAAGAAAAAGAACTTCTACCTAAAATAGTCGCTGACTACATATATATTTATAAAAGTATACGTAGAGTTAACTAGCAGAGTATCAAAAATGACAACTTGGTGCTTACTATAAATGGCATAGCAAGAATTTTAAGCAACAATTAACATTATATAAGTCTTAATTGTTTCCCAAAAACAAAAAAATATATTTTCATTTATATGAAATTACCTGAAAATCGAGAAGTAACTTTAAAATTTTTTTACTATCTACACGGGAAAGTTATGATCAGGGAAACATCAGTATTTCGTGAAAATTATATAAGATCACTTTGTAAACATTAAACGTAACTTAGAAATCGTTTACCTGTTAGTAGTATAGTAAGCAAATACTTCATTTTCTAAAGTAGATTTTTCTTTCGTATTTTTTGTACAAATGTCATGGAGTTGGACACACACTTTCGTACAGAAAATTACTAAGATATGTTACAATAAGTTGTATCTATAAATACTCTACACTATCACAACATAATCGCGATTCACTTTTTAGAAATGTAAACGGTTTTTTCATAACATCAACAAGTTATTAATAGAAAACATTAATGTGTAATCATTTGACGGAGTAAGAGAAACACATTATAATTTATATCACATTTTACCACTTTAATTTTCTTCCTCCTATAACTGAACTGGAATTGATTATACCAAGAAAAACATAACATGCAGTTTTATAATTTCCTTGATTCAAAATCTACTACTAATCCTGTTGCATATATTCTGGCTAACGAAAATCATGCATAATTCACGTATCTGTTATGTTGTGACGCTCATGTGAAAGATTTACAATAATTTTGAATGTTATCGGTACCTGGTACTTTACAATAGGCAAAGGCTCTTTTTTTTGTTTTTTTTCGGACTGACATAAAATATTTAAATGTAGACTAGGGAAATTCAGTTTTATTAGAATAAGCATTCGTATTTCAATTCTAAACAACATCAAATATACAGTGAATAAGTAAGTATTTCAATTAAAAATTTGCAACACCATGTATTTTCATAAAATAAAATATCACGGATGTAACCGTATCGATAAAAATCACAGTCGAAGGACAACCGTTGAACCTCATTGTATCAAACTAGAAATGTATGGATTACATATATTAGTTTTGCACTATACATATTTAAATATCGTGTTTAATATCGGATACAGCCTTCAGGTAAGAGAATATAAATAATATAATAATAAACATTTCGTGCTGAGTTAATTTTCCAAATACTGTTCAGATTCTGTATCACCAGGATTGCCCTGAAGAAACTACGGGATCTGGAATAAAAGTGACATGGCCCCAGAGCCCAACAGCAAGCAATGTACAATCGGAACCCCTTTGTTTTTTTAACGGCACATTGATAACAAGGAATTGCATAAATTATGAATGGCTTCCTAATATCAACCAGCTACAATCATGTGACAGGGCTGTCAAATATTTTAATTCTCAAAATTGCCCTCCTGGGTTCAATAAAGTGTCGGAGAACAATAACAAATATTGTTATCACATAAGCCAACCGTCAGTTTGGAAATATCCTTGTTTTGAAACTGGGGGTGCAACAGTAATAACTGATTTTACCAAAAATGAAATCAACGCATTAATAGATTCGCTTAATTTTTCTAATCATAAATTTTTATGGTTACCAGCCAAACGACAAAAAATGTTCGCTCCTGTTGTATGGCATACCCCTGGTCCAAACTGGGGGCAAACAGTAGAAGTAGATGAACGAATATCCTTTAGACCGAACCTGTTGAAAAACTGCTTGGTATTAGATGTTGGAAATAAAATCTTGAAAACAGAGATATGCCATGTGGAGTATGAGAGTTTATGTTTCTACGTAAACGATTTTAATTATCCTGCAAAATGTCCAGCTGGATATAATGCTTTTCGTCACATGCTTGATGATGGCAGATGTTTTGGAATAGAGCAATCTCATAGAAACTTGACATTTGAAGAGTTTCGACGTAGATGTAAAAAACCAATGGGAAATGGTGGTTTTAAAAATTTGAGAAAATTTATTTTTGCCAAAATAGCTGAAAATCATAATATGCCAAATTTTTCATGGTGTTGGTTTTCCTCATTTATTGAAAATAATGAGCATGACATTTCAAGTGTTACTGTTAATTTGCATGATTTTACAAGCATAGAAAACGAAACTAATTCTAATATGATGAGCATTATCAATAATTTTGGTACAGTAGGTTTATTACATACATCAGACACTTTATCATGTATGGCTTGTGAAGCTGATATCATCTATAGAGAGACTGAATTATTTTTTGAATACAATGCCTCAAAAAATAAAATTTATTTAACCGTTTACTTTCCCTCTGGTTTGTGGAAATATAATGATGATGATAGAGGTATACAGTGTTTTTCTGATGCTAAAGGATTCTTCAAAGTCATAGACGTATATGAAACATTACCTTTATTATCTGTTAAAACACTGAAATCAGAATCATCATCTGAAATGTACGTAGAAAAAACCATATTTGAAATTAGTCTTGTAACAGATAGATCCGCTAGTTATTGGTGTGAAGGTCACACAAAAAATTTCTCCCTAATTACAACAGAAAAAATTGTGGTAAATCCCCAAGGTAGGGAAGTTCATGTATTTTCCCTTGTTTTAGAAATGTTTGTATGTTTAGATGAAATAAACAACGTTGTCCAAATTAATTCGATTGGACTTACAGACAATTTAAATAAAATATTACAAGCTGAAAAAATTATAATTATGGATATACTAGATTACAATCTAAATGTCATGCAAGTACTACTGCATGTTCATGTATCCATAAATAACACGTATAAAGTAGAAGCGCTCAATTTACTGAGCACTTATAACAATCTGTTACAGAAAATAGAGTTAAATTTTCCAATTTATAACTACACTTTTATTAATATGTCAAGTTCAGTTTATTGTTTACCAACAATTTCAGAAGACTCTATAGCACTATACTGGGATTTGACTCCAGTTGGTCACATTGCAGCTCCTAAGCAATTTTGTTTACAAAGTAACGGCCTCCCTGTCAATAGACATTGCTTCGGGTCGTATTTACTCGGTAGTTTTTGGGGCGCAGTTATAGGTCAATGTGACAAAAGTTATGAACCCTCTTTCACAACAACATTGCTATTTAATTTCGTACAAGGAAAGTTGGGGAATGAGTATGTTTCTAACTTTCTTACAACTGGCTTACAAAAAGTTTTGGGTAACACGGACATATTAATTCCAGCTGATGTCTATTACTTATCTCTATCTTTTCAACAAGTTTTAAATATTGCTCATCGAAATGAAAGCTCTATTGAAACTGGAGATATTCAAAATTTTGCTTGGGCTATAGACAGAATTATGGTTGTAAATAAAAACAATTTACGTTTAGCTCAGACTCTCAATTCTACTAATGCTATATTGGACTCTATAAATGATATGATTGCAATGATAACACGGCAGAGTTTTACTTCAAAAACAAAAACAACAACTAAAAGTGATAATACTTACCAATTAGCTATTCAACCGCGATTCATTGTACAGATATCATATCCTGAAATAACAAATATTACAGGTTTGGCGGTAATTAATCCTGATAATTCTGATACATTCGATAAAATGAAAATTCAACCATTATACAAAAATATGACGCTCAATAAAGTGCTAAAAATTGAAAATTTAGAAGTGGCAACATGGTTTCCAAATGTTGTCTTGAATAATCTACAAAAAGAAGTTAATGACAACCAAACCATGCATATAGTAATAAATGTATTTTCCGAAGACGTAATATTTCAACAACTTAAAAATAATAGTTACGTAATAAATAGCCGGATAATTGAAATCGCCGTGCCGGGTTATTCAACAAATTCAGAGTTCGGAATACCCTTAATATTTCGCAATATCAGGCATATGCCTACAATAAAATCAAGTAAATGTGGTTTTTGGGATTTTCAAAGTGAAACTGGCGTTGCAGGAGTTTGGTCTGGTAGTGGCTGTGCGTTAATAGCAACCGAAAATAATATGTCTATCTGTGAGTGTTATCACTTAACGCACTTTGGCCAGTTGATAAATATAAATAGTGATAGGGGTTTGGAGGACTCTGTTTCTGGAGCTGGACACAAAAAAGTATTAAACATTATTACACTTATAGGAAGTGGGCTATCCCTTATAGGGATTATGGGTATTTGGATAACAGCATTAGTTTTTGATTTATGGAGGAAAAAAACGGGGACTAAGGTTTTATTGCAACTGTCGTCTGCTATTGCGTTACCTTTAATATTGATAGTTATTTTTAATGTAGATAACTCATTGGTTTTACAAGTACATGACATAAACGAAAACAAAAATCATGTGAAAATAATTTGCATAGTGTTGGGTGCAGTTTTTCACTATTCAGTATTAACCAATTTTATGTGGATGTTAATCACTGCTATTTTACAATTCCTTAGATATGTCAGGGTCTTGGGTGTATCAAGACCGTCTAAGTTTATGGTTAAACTTACATTAATAGGATGGGGCTTACCAAGTATACCGGTAATGATTGTTTTAATAATAGACAGAGAAAATTATATTCCTCGCGCGGTATCGCAACGTTCCATCTGTTACCCAAGTGGCATTTATATGCTTCTAGGTGTAGTATTACCTGTGTGTTTAATTTTAATTATTAACATTGTATTATTTATACTAGTTATCAAATCTATCTCCAAAAAATCTGATCTTCAAATTTCTGACAGAAGTTTAGTTTGTGCTCAGTTCCGCGTGTCAATATTTTTATTTTTCTTATTAGGATTAACTTGGGTATTTGGTATCATGTCATTTTCAGGTAGTGTTATATGTTCTTATATATTTTGCATAACATCTACTGTACAAGGATTTGTTTTGTTTATATATTTTGTTATATGTGATCCTACGACAAGAAATTTATGGATTACTGTAATGAAACCTCAATTTTTATCTTCGAGAAATAGTGTGACTACTATAAGTAGTGGGTGAATAATAATAATGGTCAAGTAAAATGTATCGTCATAATCCTTTCTTAAAAAGTTTTGTTTAAGCTGTCGATTGTGCGCCTTATTTAGCTTTAGGAATCTGGAAAACCCCCCTTTTGATTTCACGCTTAATTTAATTAATAAGGTTCCGATTTTAATATGTAAAGAAGGAAATGTGAAATGTATTTAACATAAAACATAAGTGTGCAGATTTAGAAATCATCACATAAATTAAAATTATTTTTAAACAAAAAAAATCATTTTTTAGTATCTCTCTCTCTATATATCTATATGAAAATAACACCCAGATTGATTAATTTTGCAAAAACTCTTTTATTGAATATTTCTGTAAGTGTACGTTTTAAGCGTAATGGATCACTTCGAATAAGGCTTTATTTACCTAATGTAAGAAATTGAAAATGTAATTTATATAGTTAAATTTATATTTATTTCTTATAATAGACACTTTTAAGAATTCATAAATGATGCAGTTTGCACAGAACAACAAAGTAAGATAATTTGAAACATTTTTAACCACGTTGCCAAAATTTCCATTCATCGTATAAATAAATAATTAATAAAAGTATATTCGTAGACATGTATAGTTGGTTCAACGTTTTGTTTTTTTTGCTACTTCGATAATAACTACAATTGGTGTCTGTTGATTAAGATTCTTCTGCTTCTGAGCAAAATGCATATTTGTGTTTGTAATAATGTGATGTAATCGGATGTTAACTTAATTTGAAATTCCAATAAATGTCTGTTTACCGAACTAGTCTTTCATTACCATTGCACACCCAGTAATCGTCTGAAAAAGACGCATACATTTGATAATGTACAGTACACATATCGTTACTATTTTAATTATTGGTAAGTTTGGTAAGGCCCAGTTACACCTAAGTTAAGGATTTATTCAAATTTAATAGCTAATCGTGCTTAAGCCTCAATATATTCTAATATATTATCTTATTATCTTTAAACAACTGACAAAGATAGAATTATGTATTAAACACGATTGCCTTATTTGAACTTTGGTAAAAGTAGGCCTTGATATCTTTTACGATTGTAAATGAAAAAAAAACATATTAATAATTTATTTTATATCTAGTTTCTGGAAGTAGAGGTTGGAGAGCAGTCCCAGCTAATGTAGCATCGTTTGCTCAGCGGAGGCAACTAGATGTTTCAGAGTTAAATGAACCTAATACAGATGAATATTTACCAAGAGGTAGGTAAATTCACTAAAGCGTAATCCCATTTACATTTTACAACAGATTCTTGGTAATTTGTTTCACTTTGCAAAATTATGGCTCAATTACACTTTGGTCGTTAGCCTGTATTCGAATCGATGCATAAAAGATATAACTCGAATTCGGGCAACCGAAGCAATATTTACACTAGAATATGGGCTGGAATATATAGGCCTATGCTCAGCAGTGGGCGTCGTACGGCTGACATGATGATGATGATGGACTGGAAGACGGTGTTGGGTAACCTAAACGCTACTGAATGCGGGCGTATTCGTCTCCGTTCATTTACACTTATTCCTTTACCCGAACTCCACTGGCAATCGTATTAGGACTAACGAACATGTGTAATTAAGCCATAAGAATCTGCAAAACATACTTAATCTTTTTCAATTAACACGAGGATGGCATGAGGAAGACTGAAAGGAGGCAGTTAAAGGATTTCTATAATAACTATTATACAGAAAGTGGTGTTGAGGTTCAAATCATCAAAGGATTCTCTCCTTTTAAAAAAACTAAATTAAATATACCTACCAAACTCCGGGGCGGCAGCCCGGCTGCAAGAGCTGGGAGGCATAAAGGCATACGTTACTGACCTATATTTTGATTTTACTAATTCTGGGGTGCAAATCGTAAAGCCCGGGGTGCTTTTATTGTAGATTTATATATGATAAATCTGGTCATGTATGTGGGATCTGTATTTTTAAGCATTACACTGATTTTCATTTTCTTTCTTTCTCTCTCATCTGATATAATTGACTATGTTTATAATTTCAGTTGCGCTGCACAGTGTATACAAGTTTGGTTGGTGCAGGCCTGATGCGGTGGCTAAAGTTTACCTGGCTCACACGGCTTCCATACATTTCCCTACTTTTTCATCAACACAAGGAAAGTATGTTTACGTAAGTACTTAAACGTTTTTTTTGGTCACTCGAACAATAACCTGTCGTAGATGAATTTATGGCCCTTTCCTGCGAGTGGAACGAACCCAAATGACTCTCTCAAACTCGTAAATATGAAGCTTGATATTTTTTTACTGATAAAAGTTAAGATGCGAAACTTTTTTGAAAGTCGAAAACTAATATACTTCGCTCCGCCCACCTATTTTTCGTAAATTCCCTCTCATCTCATTGTGCCATCGAGCGGCTCTATCATCTAATAGACCACATGTCACTAGATATGTTGCAAATTTCAAAGTACCCAAAGCACTTGTTCTATGAAAACCAGAATATTGATCAAAAAAGAAGCATGACGGCACAAAGTCCCGCCTGTTTGATTATCGGCTAGTGACATGGATGCTGGAGCACAGAACTTCCCAGAAAGAGAAGGGACTGTTCTGCGTGTGTGTGTTTGTATGTGTGTAATGTGCAGACCGAGTCAACAATGAGCTCAAGATTAGGAAAATTTTCCCTGTGTAACATTAAATCCTTGGTCATAACACACGATGACCAGACATTACAGAAATGGCTACTCTTCCATATACGCAGACTGTCACGCTTATCAATGGGCCATTGAGCTTTTCTTATTTAAATAATTTGTTTATAACTTTTGTTACAGCTTCTGCAAAATAAAGATTCAATCAGATTTCGATTGCAGTGCGTCGTTTTGAAAATAATGGTGCCAACCAAGTACTTGTTTAGAAGAAGTCGATTACCAATATACTACTGCCAGGGGTACGCTTACTACGTGATGTTCAACTATGTGCATAAAATAGAAGTTCACGAAATGTTCTTGAACACCAATTTGAACATGCCCGCTGATTTTATATTTGAATTTTACCACCCACCTACGTACGATAATTTGGCCAAAGAGATTTGGCATGAACCTATATTCGAGTGAATTAAAAAATTAGATTTAACGAGCAGCCATTTTTATTTAATTTAACTGTATACCACCTATATAATGTGAAATACCCTGTATCTATGTTATACACACAGCAATAAAATGTTTCTTCAAATTTAACAAACGCAAATAAACAAAATAACTTCAATTCAACTGCGCGATTCATAAATCTAAAGAAAATATTAACTAGAAAAAACTCCACTCTGGATATTCAACTCAATATCTGTGGAGTGAATTTTTTTCTAGAAAAACTTCTTCAAATGAAGTAACTGTTAATTTTATTATTATTTGTTATACAAGGGTCCAGTGTTTTTTTCGGACAATTACTTATATTGAATTTGAAACATGAACAATCGAAGGATTCCAGGTTTTTTTTATTTATTTATATTTCACACAAAAAAACACTTATAAACTATTTTTGCCAAACCACAATGCAGTTTGTCGGCAGCTGTTCCCATGGCACATATATTTTTCGCTTTCCCTATTAACAATTGTCCGTCTTATCTATTAATACTACACAACACTTAATTAATACCTAAACCTTACATGTTTCCGGTATAAAAAGTATCCTCTGTCTAAATCCATTTGTTAAACTATATATGCTTGCCAAATATAATAAAAATCCATTTAGTAGCTTTTGCGCGATTGAGTAAACTGTTTCGAAACTGTATACAAAGGTGGTGCTGTTGCACCACCTTAGTGAAACCCTGTTTATAAACAAATGTTATCCTAATGAATACGCAGCTTAACTTTTCTGCTGAGCGATATAGCAACATAGCAACTTTTCACCTCACTACAGCGAGAAAAAGGTTAGGTGTACAAAAAACAGCTGAAAAAAGAGGTTGGCGCGCTGACATGAAATAAGCTACGACATAACATCTTCACAGATAAAGAACAATAAACTGATAAATTCTATTCCACTCCACTAGTTATTTAATAAAATGAGCTTCGTAGAAATGTGATTCAAGTCATATTGCTGTGCTCACACTAGAGGTTACACTAGGTACCAGTTTCGGATTTATCCCTGTTTCAATAATTGTAAATATCTTTTGATGACGTCATACTAGTTCAAACTCTTAAGCACGGACAGCTGCAGGTCAAGTTACCCAAAACTGACAAGTTTTTCCAACTTTGAGCTTTAATTAACTTGATATAAGATTAAGATTTATTAAGAAAATTTGAGTTTTTATTTAAAATGTAGTTTTTTATTACTTTTTGACTGCCTTATAGGCATGCGTCCGATATATCAAAACGAATCCAAAATCCGATTTCAAACACAAAACGATACCGAACGATTTCTCAACAAGAAAATCCGATTTCAGAAATCTAACCGAACCAAAACCAGTGATCTAATACCACCACAAGTATCCAAATGTAAATCGGATTCGAAATTCATGCTATCTTTTTTACTCCGCTATGTAGCGATTGGTTAGAAAGAGAGAAAGTGAATTTCTTTGTCTCTTTCTTACCAATCATAACAAAGCGGAGTAAAAAAGATGGCGCAAATTTCGGAAGTCCGATTTCGGTTTGTTGTTTAAGGAAATCTGTTGCTCTTCTCTAAGGCGGGATTATTTATCACTGAAAAGAGGTGTCGTCTAAAAACATCAAAAGTCGAGCAACTTACATTTATGAACCCTAACCTGAAGGAATTAGGTTTGATTTTGTAAATGGTTTGAAAAATAATAAAAACAAACAGATAAATAAAATTCATCAAAAAAAATACTAAAAAGAATTTGTAAAAAGAAGTCATTGCCCGTTTTTTTAGCTAATAAAACCAATCTTAACGCAAACTAGTGAATTGGCTAAGTTAGGCACATCTGAAATCGGATATCTAAAAACGGATTTTGAAATCGATTTTGAAATCTGAAATGCGATATTTATCCGTTTGCGTTCAAAACCAAAAACGCCCATGTCTACTGCCTTACTCTGGGGAGTATTTTAAATCTGGTGCCCCGGGCCACTTACGATTTGAATTCGAAATCAAGTCAAAATATGGTCAGTGATGAATATGGCTTTTTTAGGGCTACTGCCGCCCCTCACTGCTCCTGTAGCCGCCCCTCACTGCTCCTGTAGCCGCCCCTGTGAGCCTGCTGCCCTTTTGGCCCAAGGGTAAATACATATGCCCCTGCCTGTACTTGGTCTATTGTTATGCTCTGTCAACGCTGCAAAGAAAGTGAGGGTAACCAACTCATTGCATTTTTTTTTATGTAAAAACGGTAGCAAACTACCATATTGCTATAAAGGAAGCGGCCGCCATGCCTATACACGCTTGCGATAACAAAGTATCCCTTGCACTGTCGACTATTCTTTCCCCAACCCCCTAAGCATTATAGCCCGGAAAGCTTACTCAGCGACAAAAACAGAAAGCTATTTCATTCTTTTGTAAGGTGGGAGCTCCAATTCGAGAGGAAAATCTTATATTCCCGACCGAATAATTTTAAGCTGTTTTATATACGTAATGGCTTCCTCTCATCTAACAGGACTAACATACTTTCTAAACAGATAATATTGGCCCAATACTATTACTAATCGAACTATTAACCGAAATGTCTCCGCTGGTGGGGCTCAGGTCGTCCCTGGACACTGATCAACAATGGGTTCAGAAAATACGTCTTCTCTTTTTCTTAACTTTAAGTTAATTACAACACAACGTAATGTGAGAATATTTACTTCCATAGCGCGCGCTTCTCAAAAATTTTCGGACAACAAATTTTTCGCACATCGTGTGCGTTGAGTCCGTGACATGTCGTCAGCGTACAGCATTTCACGACTTTTGTCTTTTCTTATGCGCAGACCACAACAGTTTTATGGCTGATGTCCGGTAATGGGAGAAAATTAAAACTTTTTGAAGAAAACTAGAACCGAATTCATACAAAACCACACAAAATTAAGAAATATTTTTTATTATCCTTTACACAAATCTGAAATACATTTTTAACTCAGATGACGGAAATACATGAACTAACTAAACCTTTTGTTCTGTAATCTGAGCATTTAAAGCAAAATTTGGGTTCCCAAGTAGACAACATTTCGGGTCGGTGCCATGCCAACAAACTTATAAATATCTTAGTTAGCGTTCACTACTTGGGTTAGCTGGCCACACTAGTTTTCCAAATTCAAAAGGACTTTATTTATACCATGACTAATCGGGAGTTTTATTCACGGTTATCGATGAATCCCTTTTTCGAGTGGCTATATGGCGAAAGCAAAGTAGGTAGATAGGTATTGTTGTTACTAAAAGAGCAATGTAGTCTCTTAATCAGACGTTGATGGATTCTTCGAGTGATTTGGTAACAAACACGGTGTTGTTTATTAATGCCATGACGTTAGTAAGCAGTAGCGATCTGAATCACAAAAACAATGAACGTTCTCCACGTAATCGTTACTGTGGCATTATGTAAGGATAGTTTTATTTTTAAAAAGGATGAAGAGACTCAATTTGCTTCTAAACCCATAAGAAAGACGGTTTTAGTATTGTTATTCCAAATTTTTTGAGTTATAAAATCATAAGACTAAAGGCAGTGGGGATTAGGGTAACAGGCATGTACAAAAGTGACAAATTCAATAACAGTTTATTGTGCAGAATATAATTAGAATAAAAGAATCATCATGCTTGTTCAACCTTAATGTAAATTTAAAATTATTTAAATTTTAAAACTTAATGTAAAACTGTATTTCGAGCTATAAGTATTTCTAGTGGCATTTAAATACTTAATTCAATGTAGCAAGTATTTTAGACTAAAACAGTTTCTGAAGTGTAAAGGTCTCGAAACGTCAAAAATAATGAAAATCTCTTACGAATCCTGAGTCGACTGGATTTTTTTTTAATAATATTATTTTTATAATGAAAAGTGATTAAATCGCGCTTATAGCCGTTCGAAAACTGCTTAATTAAATTATAAGTGTACTAGAAAACTTTAGAAATAAATGTTTTAGAATAAATTCTGATTTTCTTATTTTCAGTAACCAGAAGAAAATGCGTGAGTGTGATACGTGATTTTGCTACCTGCCATGACGATTTCAGTCTTAAACCAGCCGACGGAGTGCTTAAAGAACACACTTTCACATGGTTAGGTTTCGTGCAGTATATCCATGGTATGTTTGTCGGATTTCTTTGCCATCGTTCACTGAAATGTCACCGAATTTTCGTAAGCTGCTACTGCGGTTCAGATAAGAAGATTTAAATTTAACAGTGAAAGCGCTTAATACTTCTTACTCGTTTTGCGAACACGGAGCGTAAAAAGGGTGCGAAAAACAATAAAAACGCGCTTTATAACTGTTCAAATAGTATATCAATAAATGATTCATGTGCGATAAGAAATAAATAAACTTAACTTTCTTTACTTATAGGTATCTAAGTTATTAATAGAAAAACATAGTGATGATAAATGTGGTTTAAAAGAAAAACTCTTTGGTATTCATAGCATTCATTTCGAACCGAATCTGATTTGCACTGCCTTGCGTTTTACTGTTTTATATTAAGGCATACGAGCTGACCAGTAAGTGATCACTGTCGCCCAATAGACACCTGCAACACCAGGAGTAACACTAATGCGATGCCGTTGTTTATGAAGAAGTATCGCCCTTTTCTTCCCGGTTTCCGGGTCGTATTGGTCCGTCAACACTTGCCATCAATCAATCAATAACATCAATACATTGCCATCAATGGTGCCTAGATGTCAATCGATCAATATCAATACCTTCCTAAGTTGTGGGAACCTCGTAATGTTTTGACTGCCGTATATACTACTCCTCCACAGGACTGTTCATGGTACTCTTCAGCTATATTATACTCATGAATAATAACTTTGGAATATCCTTACTACAAACGAGATCGAATTAGTAAGCTTCTAACTCGAATTCGTAGCTTTATTTCTCCTAATTATAGCTTTCTGATTTGATGATGGGTTGGTTGAACCCAATTTTATGTATCGCTACCACGTCTACTAACTATCGGCATAATGCATATCTACTACGTGCTTGTAATAACTTTAGTGTACATTCGGAGCAGGTCAAATTAGATCTTTTTAACACTTAGGCTTCGTGCTAGGCGTATAATGTCTGTTTGTGTTTTATGAACAATGATGAAATTTGGTAAATATAATACTAATAATATTCTGTATTATTTGCAGTGAATGCTGGTGTATAAATAGTGCGTCATTAATAACTTAATTTGTTGTTATTTGCGAGGACCTATAATTGGCTATTTGTTATTACTATAGTTATTTTTTTGTTTTAAAATTAGCTGTTGGTCTTTCTAATAATATATAAATATAGTAGATTGTTAACCGAGGGTGGAAAGAATCAATTCCCGAGGTATTTAGACGCCCGAGCGCAGCGAGGGCGGCTATAGTCCGAGTAGGAATTGATTCTTTTACCCGAGTTAAACACTGTACTTTTCATTTCGAATATGAGGAAAATAAAACTAGTTGTTTAACAAAAATATTTATTCATAAATAGTTATATATATACCATAAAATTAGAAGTAGCTATTTAAAATTAATTATCATATTAGGACAATTACTGAAATTAAAAGTAACATTCTTGTTTGAAACTATGCTGTTTGATATAATATTACAAATTTGGCTGTTTTGGATATCTGTAAAAGTAGGACACTCTGTTATTTCATCAAACGATGGATTCCATGGCGGATACTCCCTGGAAGTTGTCTGCTGAGGCGAATTGTAGGAGCCTGTAGTTTGCTAGACAGTCCATTAAAATATGTAAGAAATACACTTTCGGAAAACGATTTTATATTCTTCTCTGCTCACCACTTTATAAAATCATTGTATGTATTTATATATCTCTTTTTTAACATTTCTGGCAAAATATTCTCTATAACACAATTTGCCTCGTCTTTAATTGAATCCGGTGTCAACATTTCTGAATTGCTTGAACTCATTTTTAATATTCAAAGTTGGATTGCTCTGTTTTACTTAAAATATTATTATTACTATTTTTTTATTCCATCACATAACAGATGCATAACAGTTTAGTATCCCGCCAATTTATGTCGACTTTTTAAATTTAAATATGGAACAGCGTAATTGTTGCGGCTTATTCCGCTCAAAGAAGTTTGTGCTAAGTTCACACTGGCTGTTTAGAAACTCAAATGGCGGCAGCATTTTTTTTTACAAAAAACTTCACGCCTGACAGTAGTTCTATTTTTAAAGTTCATTCCGGCCCTTAGGCGGGGAGTAATTTGTATGAGTTTTTCCCTCTCTAGAGAGGGAAATACAAATTACTTCCCGCCTAAGGGCCGGAATGAACTTTAAAAATAGAACTACTGTCAGGTGTGAAGTTTTATGTAAAAAAAAAATATGATGCCATGTGAGTTTCTAAACAGCCAGTGTGAACTTAGCACAAACTTCTTTGAGCGGAATAAGCCGCAACAATTACGCTGTTCCATATTTAAATTTAAAAAGTCGACATAAATTGGCGGGATACTAAACTGTTATTTGACTGTGACGGAATAAAAAAATATCTTATAAGTAAAACAGAGCAATCTAAATTTAAATATTAAAAATGAGTTTAAGCGATTCAGAAATGTTGACACCGGATTCAATTAAAGACGAGGCAAATTGTGTTATAGAGAATCTTTTGCCAGAAATGTCAAAAGAGGATATATGAATACATACAATGATTTTATAAAGTGGCGAGCAGAGAAGAATATAAAATCGTTTTCCGAAAGTGTATTTCTTACATATTTTAATGGACTGTCTTCTTCACTTCTTCTTCAAACTTCCAGGGAGTATCCGCTATGGAATCCATCGTTTGATGAAATAACATAGTCTCCTACTTTTACAGATATCCAAAACAGCCAAATTTGTAATAGTATATCAAACAGCATAAACATTCCAAACAAGAATGTAATTTTAATTTCACTAATTGTCCTAATATGACAATTAATTTTAAATAGCTACTTCTAATTTTATTGTACCTATATATATACCTATTTATGAACAAATATTTTTGATAAACAACTAGTTTTATTTTCCTCATATTCGAAATGAAAAGTACAGTGTTTAACTCGGATAAAAGAATCAATTCCTACTCGGACTATAGCCGCCCTCGCTGCGCTCGGGCGTCTAAATACCTCGGGAATTGATTCTTTCCACCCTCGTTTAACAATCTACTATTTCACATCCCTGTATCAAATTACAGTAACAACGGGTCTGCCTCACCACAGCAAGGCGCCGAGGGTGGTTCTGATACAGAAGCAATTCGCACTCGCCACCGCCACTGATATGCTCCATTTGCCCAAAAATTATAAACTGTAACGTATATTGTTTTAAACTTTCATGTCACTAACATTATAGCTATTAATGGGATTGTTACCATGTACCTTGTTTTTTATGAGTCTCCGATATTTCGGCACTGTTGCAAGCGCCATGATCACGGAATAACTCAGTTACTGTTGCAAGCACCATGATGGCGCTTACAACAGTGCCGAAATAGCGGAGACTCGTAAATAACAAGGTACAACATGGTAACAAGCCCGTTAATAGATATAACGAAATATAATGAACTGCAACGTATTCCCGTATGCCAATATCAAACTGTTGTTCTATCATCATCAGCCTATTAATGCCCCCACTGCTGGGGCACAGGCCTTTCCTATGATTGGAATTGGGAGACTGGGCCGTGACCCACCATGCGGGCCCAGTGCGGATTGGTGGGTGCTAACGGCTGTAGATACAGCCGAGACCAATGGCTTAACGTAACTTTCGAAGCAAGGAGGAGCTCGAGATATAAAGTTTTTGGTCACCCATCCAATGATCGACCATTGCGAAAGTAGCTTAACTTCGACGATCGCACGCTGAACGCGTTTGCCATCTGCGCCATCGAGCTCCTCAATTGTTCTAAAGACTTTTTGTTGTTCTGTAGACTTCCTCAAAATGCTAATGAATCGTAATTTTTGTCACCAATAATGTGAATGTGCTACACATACTTCTAAAAAACTCTCGTAATATTAAACTACATGCTTACAAGTATTTTCACGTTAATAAGGACTTTTTTTAAGGAAAACGGATCTTTAATTTACGTGTCAGCAACTTCTTTGTATAACTACAACCATCCATATCTAAAGTTTCTATTACGAAACCAAAATAGAGCTTTAAATGCTCTTTTTTCTATTCCTCTTAACAAGTATATAGATATTTGTGTGGCGATACTCAATATTTTTTACATTTGTTAATTTCTGTTCTTTATTAAGTGGTCATGTAGTTTTTGGTGACTACGAGCGAGACGAAGAAGACTGTGGACTTACGAAACAGCAGTTGAAACTGGGTGTTAATTGCGCCAGAGCTTATATAGAGATGCCGATAATCGACATAACACCACATCCAGAGTTTTCCAGGTGATTGATAGCAAAGTTATAACAAAAAATACTTCTAAAGATATTTTTTTGAAATGAAAACTTCTTTAGCGGCGTTGTACACTTTTTTTTTTGTATGAGTAAAAAATGTTATACTCGCGTCATGACACGTGGGCTGATCGCATCACAGGCCAATTGTCCTTATCGTAAGACGAAAACAATAAAATTAGAAAGGTTGTTGACTTTCAATATATTGGACGAAACATAGTAATATTTTATTTTATCGTATCATAGAAGAAAGAAAGAAAGAAAGAAAACATTTAATTTTATAATAATAAGTCTGTATCTAGGACGTCCAGGTGGCAGTTTTATTGCGAAGAAAATGCATTTTTTTACAATAGATGTCGCTAGGTACGCTCAAATGAGAAATTCTGAGATAAACTTTTTAATGTAATATAAATAGTCATGTTTTTGTACGATTGCGCAATAAATAAATATCGTATTCTACCACATAAATGATAGTACTTTTATATTAATAATTAAAGAAATTCGTGCAAAATTATTCCCTAACCATTCCAACAAAAAATGCACAACGTTAATATTCAAGTTTTCACTTCTGCCGGCACTCCCGGAGTGCAACCCGTCGTTTTTTATTTTTGAAGTAATTTACTACTATATGTTTAAACCTAAAGAAAATTTCACTAGACAAAATTCTACTATTCTACCAGGCAGCAGACGGGTCTCAAACCCGCACCCACCGCTGTCCGGGCGGTGGACTGACCATTATGCCGCCGTTATGAGTATTATTATATTAGGGCCGCGGTAGCAAAATGGTCAGTGCATCCGCCCGGCTAGCGGAGGGTGCGGGTTCAAGTCCCGTCTGCTGCCTGGACCGCGTGGATTTTTTTCTAGTAAAACTTCTAAAGATAATCTTAGAAAAACATCCTCTCGGTCCGGGTTTCAGAAGGGATTAGAACCCGCATCTTCCGCTAATTCAGGCAGACGCACTAACCAATTATTCCTAGTACATTTTTTTCTAGTGAAATTTACTTTATATTCAAACATCTAGCAATTAAGCGCAACCATCTTTGGTTAAATGCTTAAAAAATATAAAAAAAGAACTTACTTATTCAATGTACTTTACTAAAGGGCAAAACAAAAAAATGGGTTTTAGTATTCTTCCTACCTTGTATGTTTCTTTGATGTGGTTTTAGTATACGAATTTTTGTTCCTATATTTAAAAGGCTTTGTGCCACTTCATCATTCGTTCATTTGCGTGCAATCGCGTGAAGAAAAAGCATTTACCATGGAACTCCGTTATTATACACATGATAATTCATAAATTAAACCAGATTAAGTATGAAAAGTCTAGTTAAAACGATCGCTAAAATGGCAGTCTCTCGCTTCGGCTATCTTCATTCTGGCCAAAACCCAATCACTGTGACAACTATTCAGGATGAAATAAACAGGGCCCTACCTAACGCCCTGAACAGGGCCAATAAAAACCAGACAATACTCCTGCACTGTCACCCGACACGCACTATGAGGACCGCGGTCCCCCTAGTGCATGCTGAGAGGGCGGTTGTGGTCGAGGCTCCCGTTTCCAAATGGCCGCGCACCCGCCAGGTGTTTGTCCGCGAACGGACCCACCCCGATGAAGATACCCCGGAGCATCAAGGGCATCGAGCGAGCCCCCCCCCCCCCTCCCCCCAGGACAGGCTCGCGGCTCTCGCAGGAGTGAGAGGGAGAGCGTAGTTCTCTCCGCCCCTCTCCTACCCATCTTGGCCCTAAGAAGGGAATTTTGAGCACCTACCTTCAGTGGCAGTGGACTTTATTACCACTTATCAGGTGGAGTAGAGTCATTTGCCTACCTAGCTCACAGAGAGTAAGCAAAAAATCGCTGTTTACGCAACTTATAACTTATTACGCTACATTATGAACAGCGTCCTTGTATCTAAATATGACTTATGTTAAAAAAACCTTTTTTTCAGGTTCGGAGTTGGAAACAGTTTGGCATTAGTCAAATTTCTTCGACCTATGAAATCACGTGAGATAGAATATTTCATTGAATTTTAAACTTTTTAATATTTAAACTTATATTAAAATTCTATATTATGATAAACAGTAACTTAAATTTATGTTTGTAAATTTATTTTTAGAATACATGTTGCCTGTGTGTCTACCTTCAGTAACGGAACGTATGAAGAAGCGAAGAAACAAAATAGTATACATGATTGATTACATTAGTAGTAAGTAAACATCACTATCAGAAAGATACGCATCGTATTCCTATGCTTTTGCTCTACGAAACCTGATCTTTATGTTCTTTATTTTTCATAAAGCTGTGCCGAGAGATTTTGATACGGAGAAAATGGGAAAAAAAACTTTTAAGTTGTATACCCACAAAGACTGCAGAAGACATCGTATGAAATCGGTAAATTACAGATTCTTTTTTTATTTAGTTTATCTAAATAAGAAACATATTAGTTAACATTAAGTACTTTATCATATTGTAAACTGCGAGTGATAGGGGGAAACTACATTCAATTTGAATTTAATATTTTGACTTTGTCGTTGAGTAACATTTTCTAAATCAAGGAGATTAAGAAAATAGGTAAAAAATAAAATCTCTTCACTATCATCACTATTTCAGCCGTATGGCGCCCACTGCTGAGCATAGGTCTCCCCCTAGTATCTCCACGCCTGTATGTCCTGCGCTATTCGCTTCCAGCAGCTTTCCGTGACCTTCTCTAAAATGTTCACAAATAGCGACACTACAATATTATATAATAATTTTAATAAATAATAATAATAATTTTAATAATTTTTTAACTAACTCTGATGACGAAAACAAAATTTATCTGACACGAAGACTTATCTCATTCCAGAGGTTAGGAAGTGAAGGCGTGACCCATGTCTTATGCAGCTCAGGTTGCGGGGTCCGGCCTGGCTCGCCCATCATAAGTCACTCCTCCGAAGGCACGTTCGAAGTGATCGGACTGACAGCAGGCGGCGCCGCCTGCTCCCGTCGCTCCATGCGTCACAGGCTGAACACGGAGCCACCACTCTACATAGACGTCTACCCTTACGTCACTTGGATTATCAACGTCATCACCGCACACATGCTGCCACGGCCCTATTCACATAACTTCAAATTAGTCGATGGTGGACCAAGTAAGTTTGTTATAGAGATTACCTACATTGACTTATTATTCATCGTATTATTGGATAAGTCCGAACACCGAGCCACCACTTTACATAGACCCTTACGTCGCTTGGATTATTAACGTCATCACCGCACACATGCTGCCACAGCCCTATTCACATAACTTCAAATTAGTCGATGGTGGACCAAGTCAGTTTGTTATAGAGATTACCTACATTGACTTATTATTCATCGTATTATTGAATAAGTCCGAACACCGAGCCACCACTTTACATAGACCCTTACGTCGCTTGGATTATTAACGTCATCACCGCATACATGCTGCCACGCCTTTATTCGCATAATTCAAATTTGTCGATGGTGAACCAAGTAAGTTGGATATTAAAATTATCTTGACTTGACTGACTATCTAGTATTGGATAAGTCAGGCGGTGAACACCGAGCCAACACTTTACATAGACGTCTACCCTTACGTCACTTGGCTTATAAACGTCATCACTGCACACACGCTGCCGCGTCCCTATTCGCATAACTTCAAATTAGTCGATGGTGAACCAAGTAAGTTGGATATTGAAATTACCTAGACTTATTATTCTTCCTAGTATTGGATAAGTCAAGCGGTGAACACCGAGCCAACACTTTACATAGACGTCTACCCTTACGTCACTTGGATAATAAACGATAATAAACACATGCTGCAGCGCTCCTATTCTCATAACTTCAAATTAGTCGATGGTGGACCAAGTATTTTGGATACAGAGATTAGCTTGACTTATTATTTTTCGTATAATTGTATCTATCCAGGCGGTGAACACTGATCCACCTCTTTACATAGACTCGTCTTTCGTCGCTTGGATTATTAATATCATCACCGCACCCGATTACGGATCTATAAAAGTTCATTCTTGGGGTACAGGTCATTTAAACCCTGCGAGCAGCTCCATTTCGTTTAAGTAAGAACTGCGCCGTTAGGTATACGTGCTAACTTCACAGCCGCCATTAAGTTGGAATCGCACTTCACTAATGCTTTGTAAAAGTTGTCTATTCTTCTCCTTATAAATAGGCATGGCAGTCAACGGAGGTAATTACTTGAGAGCCAGGAAACTCCAAAAGGCTGGATGGAAAGCTCGTACCTACGTGAGTGGCAATTATTGCTTCAAAAGCGGTAAAGCTCAAAGACACACAGCGTTCTTTTATTCCGAGCAGTTTGAAGTCAAAGCTAATCCACCTGCAAAACTGAACATCTTTATGAAGGTATGTCAACTGTTTTTTGGTCAATTACTCCCAACAACATCATAAAAAAAACATTATAATAGTTATATTTTTATTTTTTAAACAATTAACTGCTAGATGTTTAAATTGTGTTGGATGTACCACTTAAATCAATGCTTTGAATATCAAAAAATGGTGATCTCAACTAATGCTTTAACATATACTCCTTCTATAAATTTCTTGTCTTAGTCTCCTTTTATCAAAAGTCTTTCCTCTACATATAAATGCAATATAAGAACTTTGTCATCAGATATCGGCTGGCATCGAATGTACAATTACTTGCGCAAGAGTGCTCTTACCAAACAGATTATCCACCCCAGATATTCACGGTGTTGGAGGTTATAACATTTCCGTTGAATTTGACACCGAGTGGTTCCCTTACGCGTTCTATTTCTCACTGGGTCTCTCAGGCAAGAACACCACCGAAAAAGACTTTAACAAATGGATCGAGGAGAGAAAACCTGGTTTTTGGAAGAAATAAAGTCATTGGCACAAATACGAGTACTTATTTAATCGGTCGAAGTAAATAATAATTAAATAATTAGTTTCAATGAAGTTTTGGTTGCATATTTTTTATATTTACATCTATACTATTATATAAAGAGAGAAAAGGATACACTGACAGACTGACTCATCAACGCACAGCCGGAACGGCTAGACCTAGAAAGATGAAATTTGGACAGTAGGTTCCTATTATAGCCTAGACAAGTAATAAGATGGGATTTTTTTTAATTTAGTCTCTTAAGCGTGAAATTTGCAAAAACTTTTGTTCGTAAAATCTTATCCCTTGGACCTATTCACTGCAAATTTTATATAAACATTATTGATTAGATGAACACTAAGCCAGTTGCATAAAATTTTTACAACTATCCTCAAAAATTACAAAATTTCGTTTCCAAGTTTGAATGGGAGATCATCTAAAAGTCTATAAGATTGATTAAAATTTTGCACAACTACTCTGTATAAAATAAAATGCTATCTGTGTTTTCATTACAACAAAGATATAGCATGTTGAAGTTTTAAATAGTGTGTCAACGCACGCCAGCACTTTTGGTCGTAGAGACATGATATTTAGTAAATAGGTTGTTTAAATGACGTAGGCATCAAGCGAGAAAGGATTTTTGAATATTGCACAGTGAATTGATTGGTGATATAGGGGTACAAAGTTTGTATAGGAAAACGAGTTTGGCTAGCTCTACAGCTTTGAAACTTGGTTTAGATAAACTAAACTGTGTGTGTGTATTCGTGTTTCATATTTTTTTAAAATTTAATCTCTACGAGGGGAAATAAGGATGGCAAGTTATCTTTAAAATATATTCAGCAAAGCTCTAATATATTACTACTAGTTGCGCCCCGCACGGGAATGAGACTACGGGTGCCAAATCCTGTTTCTTAAACCACTTAACTGATTTTCAAAACAAAATCTTCAATTATTATAGCTATTAACGGGATTGTTACCATGTATCTTGTTTTTTATGAGTCTCCGATATTTCGGATTTTATATTTAAAACAAAATCTTCAATGTTTGAAACTGTAGAAGGATACTTACAACTTTTGTTCTGTTAATTCCACAGACACAGGATCTCCAAGGGTAATAGTATTTAATACACCCGGGTGAAGCCGGGACGGGTCGCTAGTAACTTAATAATTGAGGCATTGCAGCAGCTTTATGGTTATATTGTGTTCCTTAAAGTTAAGTCCAGACGAAGTGAAATATCACATTTTATACGTGTCTACAGCTATGAGATTTTGTTTTTATTTACAGTTTGAAGACTAGAAATGCAAGGAATGTCAAAGAACTTTAAAGTTAAATGTATTGGGATAGGGTACAATGACACTTAAGTTATCGGAATAAATTACTTTTAGCAATAGATCACTGCGAGAAATTACAGACTTGATTGATATATAATTCTATAAATATACACGCTTAATATTATTGTCTACTTAAATTCACAAGGTTTTATGTTACTCATAGAATCTTTTCTTAATTTTAACTTATGCTGATTCGACAGATATTGTGTCTTCATCGTTTAAGCCTTGATCTTGGTTCGAGGCACCTGGAAAGCTTGATGGTGGGGAAGGTGATGGTCCAGGGAATTGCGGAAATTGAGGGCTGGAAGGAAGCTGTGGGAAACCGGGTAAAGAACCTTGAGGGTATTGAGGGGTTTGTGGGAAAGAGGGAGAACCTCCTCCTATTTGGGGTATTTGAGGGAAATTTGGGAACGATGGTGGTGATGGTTGGGGTGCAGAAGGTTGTGATGCTGGGGCTTCAACGGCGGGTTGAGAGTCTTGCTGTTGCCCTTGTTGTTGTTGAGGGTATTCTGCGGAATCGACAACGGCACTGTCGGAGTCACTTGCTGGACTTTCTGGAGCACTCGGTGATGCTGGTCCACTAGGGTTTCCAGATGGGATTCCAGCGGGAATGCCAGACGGGTAGCTTGGTAGACTTCCGATTGGAAGCTCAGGAGCGAGTGGACTCAGTGATGGATACAGGACACTGCTCGATGGGAAGTAAGATGCACTGGTGATTGGATAGTAAGCTTGCTGAACAGGAGTAAAGCTGCTCACTTGTGGTATTCCGAACGCAAAATTGGGGTGGTATCCGAATGAGTACGGCACTGGTAACTGTGAAAAAAAACTGCATTTACCTCCGAAAATTTTTTTCTCACATTTTAGTCTGGAGTAAGCTAGGTACTACTTATACCAAATAACTGATATAATAGAAGCATAATAAAATATAAAAACATAGCTCATAGCATTTGTGCTCTTCATATAAATAAATGTTTATATTTCAAATCCAGGACTTTATTCAATTTTAATTATCTTAACCTTATTTATTTTATCTTACAATCCTCACAATACACTGTACTTAGCATAAAAGAGTGCAGCGTTTCGATTTAAACTATTGATATGATCTTGGAATACTAGCTATGTACTACCATGTATAATTATACCCGTAGTCCTAGGACAAGGACGATCGTACTCACCGAGTTTATGTACTGCGTGGTGGAGTACGCGACGGTATTCGTCTGCGGCGGTAAGACAGTCCTCAGTACTGGGGAGCTGATGATCCCGCCTGGCCAGGCCACCGAGCCACCGTACACACACCCCGCCACACACAGCAACACCGCCAGCACCTTACAGAGACGCCATTTCATTCAATTTATGGTCTAAATCATTTATTACATCCAGACAGTGGATCTGGTGCGCAAAATAGAAACGTATATCGGCTCAAGTTTTTAGTAGATGTGATTAATATTTCAATCTTGTTTCTAAGAAAGTAACCAGTGGTGTACCCTTGAAATTGGTAACAGCGCCACAGTGGACGTAACGAGAATAAAAAAGATACCATACAAAACTTCTTAATATTTGACGCGTATCGAGATCGAATTCAAGAAGAAGAATTCAAGAATTAGATGTTGATTCCTGAGGGTAGAGTAATGTTTAAAATGATATATAAACATTTGAATGACGAGTTCTAGACCGACTATAGTTTTTACTTTTGAAGTAGGCTTTCTGTTACCAACACTTGTAAATCGAACAACTAAGCTGACATAAATCAATTATGTAATGTCAGAAACGTTTTCATTATGTATGTGTATGATCCAAGTGATCATACTTATTGATAAAAAGCCTTAAAAACATATTATTAAAAATAACACTCCGCCTTTGCTAGATCAAGAATAAAAGATAAAATGCACAACACATTAGCTTCATTTCACCCGTAAAAAGAAACAGTATTTAAGATACAGTTTATGAATATAACTGTTATTTCGAATGTTCATAATTAATTAAAAAACGTAGAAAACGAAATACTTTGTTTTTTATATTACAAATTTATCAAACCAGCGTTCTTCCAGCCACGAATGAAGCTATTTCGTGCACTTTAATTAATTCAGAAATAACATCTAAGCTTTTATGACCGCTTTGGAAATATTACACTTCGTTATCCGAATCCACCACAATTTTTGCATAAAAACATATTAAAATTTGTTTTGAAACATATATTATGTTTAAACAAATTATCTAAAATATCACTATTACTTTTCACAACATCACTTAAACAACACACTACAAAAAGAAGAATCCAAACCAGATCTACAAGAAACTTTAGAACTTTTAGTGCTAAGAAATGCAAATTGCAACTAAGTATTATTTTAAGAATACATTATTAAGATTTCGAAGGTGCTTTACCTTCATGTCCGACACAGGATCTAGATCGGTATAATACACAACATTATTACGACGACGCCTTTTATATATCAAGTGTCTCTCCACCCACAACCGATGCAAGAAAGTAACTGGATATGCCTGCGACCAAACTAAAAAAATGTTCTGGAATCAGAATAAGTTAATGATTTCAAATAGATAAAATAACAATACACAGTGGGATATATAGCAAGTATTATATAATAAAGATAAAAATTAATGAAACATGTCTACTTAAATTCCATATTCGTGGGATAAGTGAAGCAAAAAAGTGCAACACTAGGGGACAGATAGATAATAGCAGCAACAATCTAAAAATGCTCTTCGAAGTAATGTTCTTTTGTTTTTCTACGAATTGGGATTATTCTATAGTATTTAAATATTAAGGAAAAAAAAATATGCAGGAACATTCAAAAAAGTTAATGAATTCCGCAACTATATACTTACGTGTATACTACATAACAAATTAAAATTCACCAACATCGCCTGCCTTGTATTTTATTTGAAGACAATTGCAATTTGTTTTCCTTTCTCTTCTCTACAATCTCCATCAGCTGTTATGTCTACATCTACATTTTTATTTAACTATAGGCAGTTATTTAAAAAGAAACATACACGACAAAAAAAAGAATGTCCTTAAAATTGTTTTGAATCGGAAAAATACGTTTTAAGTAACATATTATCAAACTATACAATTTATTGATATTTTTTTGGTAGCCGTAAAACAAAGAATCAAATACAAGCTAACAATTATTTATCAATATTTTTATATATTATTTTGCAAATAAATGTCTGAAATATCAATAAAATATATTGAAATCTATAGTTATTCGATATTAAGTTATGAAAAAGATAAAAAATCTCTATCGCAAATATGAAAAATATACTGTTCATATCCAGATATTATAGATCTTGAGCATGTCTCAATGAAGGTGGATCTAGTTCAACCTTCGATTTTAATAAATTTGTTTGTACCGATTTTCTTTCGCTTTAATTGATCACTCATCCAGAAAAATAACTACCATACCAGAACACAAGGTGCAACTGCTGACTGATTTTGTATGATAATCTTATTTAAATCTACATAGTTTAATACTGTTCAAGACGAGCACAGCATATCAATGCGCTATTAACTTAGGTTATTCTTTAAGAAAATAGGAATAAATGCAATAAATTACTAGTGCTCCGTTTTTATTAGCACGACCTTTGACAGATCCGTATTCGTATGGCAACCGTTAAAGTTTCTATTGAAACTAAGCAACGCACCTACCGGACGTAAGAACAAACTGAGTTTTTCAGAGAGACTTTGACATGGCGATACGAATACTTCGTCGCTAGTTGTTCGCGCTTGGGGTACTGAACTAAGAGAAGAAATAAATGCAATAAATACACGAAGTTAAGAGAAATGAGATATTAATGCGTCAACAGTTGTTTACACTTTAATCCTAACAGTATCTGCTTAAAAGAATTGCTGTGATACTGTTTTAACCTAGGCCAGTTATACAATCTCCAGTTTGGTTGGTATTGTGGTTGACATGATTATTTTTTAATTTCCCGTCCCACCTTTAGCCTGGGATCCTTTAAAAGAGGCGTGATGCAGGAATATGCAGGCTGGCCATGTGAGAATTGCTGGTGTAGCAAGTAGACGTGCTGAACCAGCTATATTTGCGTCTGAATTCCACCGTCACTTTACATCAGGTACGATGAGATCATTTTGTCTGACTTATATAGGTATATAAAAAACGCTTACCGGGATCTTAGAGATAAGGAGCTTTTAACATTAACCTATTGCTTTAACATTTGAAGCTTTTGCAGCTGGGCCAGTGAATAAGTAAGTCGTTTTATTTATATCTTCATAAACCTTATACAAGTTATTGATGAGCTTAATAAAACTAAAAACATATTATAAATTACTTAAGCTTATAATTAAAACACTGAAGCAAACTATTGAATTTTGTATTATTTTACCCACTAGTACCAAAGCTCTTGAATGACTTAAATCAAAACAAAATCATATTTACTATATTGACAAAGATGGTGTGAATTTTTAAAGAAAGAGAACTATTAAACAATATGATAATATGTGGCTCTAAGTTCTTTTAAATTAAGTTCGTTTGTCAATATACTTAGTTTTCAAATCATTATATAGCACAGCCGAAATCATATGACTTTTGCATTGATAATATTAAATACAGGGTTTATACCTATCTTCACCAATATTTAATTTTTACACGATATTGTAAGATACAGAAATCTATATTTCTTTAATAATTTGTTATAATTGAGTACAACAATGATATTAAATTCGTGAAAGGTTGCCGGTTTTTTATGTGAATCAAATATAAACGACCAAAATGAGTTTATATAAGCTGATTTGACGGAATTAAGATACCTAAATATTCTTGATTTCTATTACATTTATAAAAATAATAGTGGCACTATTTATTTTTTTCTTCTTGAAGGTGACATCGTGTGCTATCTGTATTATAATATATTTAAAACAAGACTTCTGTATAATATTGGATGATACTGCAATTGACATCTTCATAATAATTAAAGAAAAACAAATCTAATTTCATCCTAATTTAAATTGCTTTAAAAAATTTACTCTTGGCTATTTAATAGCCCTCAATAAAACTTCAGCTTCTGCAAGGCAATATTATCTCCCATTTTGCTTTTTTTTCACCTTGCTTTCCAAAAGACTAGGCTGATCTAGCAGACAAGCTGAAGAAATAGTTAAGGTTATAAAACACTTCTGCAAGAAAAAGACGGTTTGTTGAGGTGGAGAGATACCACCTCAAAAAACCGATAATGGCCATTTAGCCTGATCTTGAACTGGGGACTACCTTCCTTCTTCTTCTAGTTCGTTCTTACTCTTCGGTGGAGCTAACATCTGGCCAATTCTATCTTTAAAGAGAAGGACAACCGGTTTTGGAACTGATTCATGCCAAGGGCAGGTGCCTCCTACAGTATTTTTTACCCATAGGTTTCTTATCATCTGTACTATAACTCGAGCTAATTTTAATGTACCCATTTCAGCGGCCTCCTCGAATTTACCTGCAAAAATCCAAAATGTAACAATGGCCTTAACATGATTTCATTTATTCAATTGTATTACATATAACATACATTACACACAGCTACCGATTTTTTTTTTCTAGAGAGAGTGCTCTCCTATGTAAGATAAATATTTTCCCAGGCAAATACCGGTTTGTTATAATTTTTCTAATAAGTATTATCTTATCTGACATATTTAATGCTATCGCGCATTTGATTCTTTGTCTAGGAGAAAATTTAATAATCATGTTAATATAAAAGATATGCAGGAATTATATATAAAAAAACAAGCTAAAAAATAGGTTAAAAATTGGTGTGGTTTTATTAAACCACGATGCAAGTGAAACTTCCTCATCAGCTGAGAATTGAACCCAGGGCGACCGCTTAGCAGGCAAGCTTTCTACTACTAAACCACCGATGCTTGGTGACAAAATCATCGTTTATAATATTTAAAATGTAATGCGGCGTGCTAAAATAGAACGAAAAAAATGTTTGAAATAAAAGTTTCACTCAACAAAATATTTTCTTACCGGAGCTCTGTCTTTTCACCCGTCGCACATTGTGGGTTATAGTAGAATTAGCTACATTGATGGCAGCCTCACGATTTTCGGATTGCACTGCCTAATATAGAACAAGATTTAATAGGTATCATTGCTATGTTTTATTGTCCATGCATTTAACTACGCTACATTTTTATATGTAAGAATTTGGTTTAGAGTAAACGAACTTGCACTCATCATCTTCGTCATCCTACAAATATTATAAATGTGAAAGTTTGTATGTTTGGTACCCAATCACGCAAAAACTACTGAACGGATTTGAATGAAAATTGGTACGCATATAGTTATATAAAACCTTAATTTGTATGACCTGGATTGAGACATAGGATACTTTTCCTGTGGGGTTCTCAGAACTGGAAAAGGCGGACGTAGTCGCGTGTGGTCACTAGTAGGGGAATGCGTCGACTATAGTTGAATTATTATAATAATTTTTTACACCATATTATTCTATTAATACGAACCTTATCTATTCTAAATTCACCATCCACGAATACCGAAACTGAATCAATTCCATACATCACAAATAAAATATTAAATATCACTACAGATCTAACTATTCCAGAAAAAAATTCCATATTTGAATAATAAATCTAGTCTTCAAGTATAATAAACACAGCTATTTCTTCACACCGGGCAATTTATAGAACAATTAAAATGATCTTACAGCCAATTTATAACATACGCTTCTGTAAACAAATATTGTTAGAATGGTTGTGAAAATATTTACTTACACATCATAAATATTGTTCTCTACATAGCTAGAAAATGTTATTTTAGTGTGCAATCGTAAGTATTGGTTATATTCAAATGGTGAACATACGCTTTCTTCATACTGCAATATACTATTATACACCTTTGCGTTAGCATGTATGTATTAACTTTTTATGAAGTGTAAATTATTTATAGATGATAAATGATAAGGCAATAATATAACAACTTGATCAAAGTAAACAAAATGTAATTTTAATATATTCAGGAAAATAAAATGAAAGATATCAGAAAGAATGTCAGTTAAGGAAACACTGTCAGAAGTCATAGTGCTAATAGTTTAGGTAAATCATAGAGATGAAGAGGTTGATATACTATCTCTTCACAGTATTTTTTGTGGCAGATAAAGGTAGCTTTCCAATTACAGCATTATAGCGCATTATGCGGCATAATGCTTAACGTTGAGTGTTTCAACTACAGCAACGCTTCGCACAATCGAGCACTCTCAAAAGTAATGCTTTCGTGTGATGCGTGCTATCGTACCAACTCAGAGACAGAAAATTAACAAGTGTTTTTTCTTTAAGTTGGCATTGATCGAAATGTTTTATTTATATGTTATCGTTAGTAATATTATTTATTTTTGAAAAATTATTAAAACTTTCGTTTCATTATAGTTTTTTTTTAAATAATCAAAGTTAATTCAAACTGTGTTAAAAAATTAAATATAAATATGGATGAAGGTACAAACATGGCTTTTTTTTCAACACTGAACTTAGCGCACTCTGCTGGTGCATTTGAAAACTAATTCACGTTCCAATTAAGCATCAGCATAATTCGGCATTGTGCGCCACTGAGTCGCATTATGCTCTGTAATTGGGAAACCACCATAATCAGTTGCAAGTACTACTAAAATTATAAATTCATAAGTTCCTATTAGCAAAAAGGACCGAATAGATATGAATATTTGCATACGTATAGTTTTCTTCAGATATAAAAGTATAGCAGTTTAATCCTTAATATAAAATTTATCACCTGAATTAAGACAAAGATTGAAGATAGATGAATGATTGGTCTCGCTTCACATCGTACCAATCATTCATCTATGGACAAAACATACGAGCTATTCCAATAATTAAAGAGAAAAAAACTAACATATTAAGCTCGGGTCACGAGCTTGTCCGAGGCGAGGCGATTACGTTACGATTTCGATTAGTGTGCGTGCGAACTGCTTTAGTTGATATGGTGATAGTATGTGATGATATTGTTTATTCGGTAAATTTTCCCCAGGGATTTTGAAATTCGCAAAATTAGCTATGACAAAATCAAAGTCGATACATACACAGACTAAGTAGGTACATTATTACCGTAATTATGAAAGAAACGCAGAAAAAGACATTTATTATTGTGATTTAGTAATTAGATTTAAGTATGTAGTAACAATGAGAAGTAGCATCTAAATGCATTTTTTTTTAATTGCTTTTACAAAGTATTTTTTATATATTTTTTCTCCAGTAGATAGGCACACCTGCAATAACAGTTCACTTTCATAACGTATCTGCAGTAGTTTTTAGGCAACATCGGTACTCCAAAGAAGGTTGCTCTACATCTGTAACGACAATCAGTTGACATTTAAAATATAATGCTCCTCTGACATTTAGTAACGATAACGCCAGTCCACTTATCTATATTAGATATTTTCTTATATATTATTTCAAGAAATTAATAATTACCTACCTAACTTACTTAGCTCGTTATGTAATGAACCTATATCTTCATCCACCTTATTCCAAAACATGGGCTAAAGTTAGTCATGGTTTAAACCTAATTCTGTCTCTGTCTTCTTTTTAGCAAACAAAAGTGACAGCATCAGCTCAAAACCAGGTTTAACTTGTAGTCAACATTTTGTAATAATCTGAAAATTAAGTCGCGCAATGGTGTCGCTCAGTACTGACATTACAGTATTAAAACTTCTCTTACAAATTTAATAAACCAGGTGTTTTTGAAAGAATTAACTGTCGTCAAAATGTTTTCGAAATAAAATAAAGATTATGGAGATTGTGTTGTTACTATTTATTTACATAACACGCCGAAATAATGACCGAAAGTAAGAAATTCAAACATGGTCAAGTTAAGAGGATAAACAAAATGGCGATCGACCATATGTACTTTCAGTAGCGTAGACATAGTCGGTTAAATCAGGTTTATCGGCGTAGGACGTCCCACGACTTTGCTACTGGGGGGGTTTAGTTTTAACAGTGACAGTGAGTTTGTATTTGATACACACTCTGTATCTCAGCTATCATTAAAATTTCAATAAAAAAACGAGCGAGCCATTCAGTGGTCGCGTATGATGTGTAACATTTGAAACCTCACCTTATTTTAGTAAAAAAAGAAATAAAACCTACTACAAAAGGAATAAGCCATTTGAACATTATGTTCTAAAATCAAATCAATTAGCGCGCGCTTTCGCGACTTCCTGTTACACACTTCCGTCCCATTTCACGAAATCACTCCCACAAATTGCAGAAAAGCGAGAGGAAAGATGTTACACATCAAAAACTGCGGGGCTACTCCATGTTTTATTCCGAGTTCGATAATCAAAGTATGGTGCTGTGGATCAAGTAAATAAGCCATCGTGGTACTGGCCATTACCTAAATACAGAAAAAAAATGTTCAGCCGACAGTGGCTGTCATTTTCACCACTGTCAAAAATTCATATCAAAAACACTGTTTCATGTGAACATTGGTAATTAAAATCAAAATGAAATGCAGTATCTTTTTTGTAAAGACTATTTTATTCGTATAAGTCAATTTTATATTATTTGTGCCCAATGAATCAGAAATGTCAGGTGACTAATACATTTTTCTGACAAGACTGTTACATCTGAAGAAATGTGTGAATTATCTTTATTGTTCAATTAATAAAAGAGGTATCTTTTGTTTCAACAGCTACTGATTCATCGGTGCAAACTCAAGAATCCAAAAAGTCTAAAACAAAAAGTAAGCTCCAAGTTATTTACTGAACTTTATCTTAATAATACTAAAGTAGTATTTGTTATGAACAGCAATATTGTGTCAAACCGTGAAAATACCGAAATCAGCATTCTACTATGTAGATTCGCTTAAGAAACGGCTTAATTGTACAAAACGGATTTTCAGTCTAAAGCGAACCCTAAAATTTTCATAATTTACTCATTATTTTATTATACTTAATAACCTATAATTGCATTATAACAATATCATTTTATCACTTAAAAACTAATTTAATTAAAATTACATAATACGGACAGTTATCGATACCATATTCATCTCCCTAGTGCTTTAGGACCACATGTACATAGTGGTATACCGTGGTCTAACCAGGACAAATCGGTGGGACCACGGGCCCAAAAAAAATTGCTTCCCCAGACAGGAACTCCGACTAACCGAACATTATATAGTCTGGTAAGCCCTTTATCTTAATGGTATCTTTTTTTTCTTTTGAACATTAAATATTACTGCTTTAATTATGATTTCCATCCATTTGAATTGATCCTTAAAATGCCCATAAATTGAGACAACCAAATTTTTATTTATTTACGATTGGCAAAATTTTATATAAATTTTGATTTTATAACAAAGTTATCAATATCACTAATTCAGTCAGGACAGTATTATCCAAGATCGCGTCCAAAACAAAATAGTTGATGATATACTACAGTAAGTAAAGTATTTGTTATGCTAAGGCGTACGACAGTACTATTAACGAAAACGACTGAATCGCTCTCTTGTAAGGACAAAATTATATCTTTCTTATTTTTAGCTTTATGATATGGTCATAAGACATTATCACATCGGTAAGTGCACATAGCAACCAATATAATTACTTAAATTACACCTTTCTATAGTATAAACGAAACATATAACAAAACAAGTCGAGTGTAACTGGCTATCACTCTAGCACCCATGCGCTACGAATTGCACACGCGAGTATCGAACCAAGCTTTCGTCGAGAGAGCTCTGACGATTTTTGCTGACAGAAGGTTACAATGTTGTTGCTTAATATTACCAAGAATAGCGAGATCAAGAGTAAAAAACGTTGCCAATGAAAGTCTGTCAATCGTAGAAAAGATCGTTACTGATTATTATTTGTGAATGAGGGAGTAAGACTAGTTACTGTCTAAACTTGTACTGTGTAGGTTTCCCGACGCGCCGCCCCCGCATGCTTCGCATTTCCTTTCAGCCCGGGAACGATTAGTCGGCTGCCGGCCGCCGCGTGGCGCTGTGCACACACGCAGCTCGTTCCGCTTACATACCGCTCACATGGACACGACACTGTTTGTTTACAATATCGATAACCACAGGACACCACGCACGCACACACGTACGTCAAACCTTCGCTTTGTGTGGCTTTTTCCATTTTATTTTCTTTTGTAAATCAGACTCTCATGCCTTTACTAAAAGTAACCATAAACACGTAGTCATATTTTGGCCCACATTCGGCTATGCAGTTTCCGATATCGTTAGGCATTGCACGTCGAAAATACGTAACGAAGCTTTTGCTTGAGCATTTCCTTGACATTATCTACCTGTGATTAGGATGTGAAATGCTTTTCGTCTTTGATTACATTGAATAACAACACAAACTTATTAAATGAACATAAAATAAGTTGCAGTTTCAAGACACACAGTATTTATCAGTCGATCATCGGTCATCCAAAAAGTTCATTAACTCCATATTTGGCATAACCAAAAGTCCGGATACTGTGAGTGTATTCTCAAAAAGATCTGAGATTTGTAAACATTTAACTTGTTGGCTGTTCAGGATAGTTGTTATATAGTTATTATTGTTTTGTGTAGAGTATTGCATGGCGGACGACACGGCGACGGACTGCCTGTTCGAGCGGCTCCGGCTGCACCAGCAGCGTGCTCCAGACGCCACTGAGGTAGCCCGCGCGATCACCGCCCGCATCAACTCGCGGCTCACTTCACACGGTCAGTACTCACCTATACAACTACACTTGCTACACTTAAAGCTATGGTTGTCAATAAACCGGTTGGAAATCAATATCCGTGATTTGAAACCGTTATGTCCAATGAAAACTGTTTAAATCCAAATTATTTCATTTAACTTTAACATTTAAAACCGGTTTATTTACAAGCTATCTTTACGTTTATAGTCAATGAAAAGCTTTTGTTAATATTCGTCATTTTGTTTTTCTTGGCAAATAAATATTATTATGAACTTATGTTCAATTTTGATTATTAGTGAATGTTCAGAAATAATTTTAATTTAGTAAATAACAATAAATAGTTAATGAATGTATTATGTACAATATGAGTCTTTGTTGCTTCAAATAAATAAATATATAATAGGTATAGTAGGTAGGTATATATTATGTGTAAATCTATTCAAAACCATTTTGATGCAATAGAATGGTTAGCTATAAATAATATAAATATTTGCACAAAAATTGTTAAATACAGTGTGGAACTTGAATAGTTTTTAATTTTTATAACTCCTACTATTCAGTAGAACACAGATAATAAAAACAGACGGTGTCATGAGTATGAGTCTCGCTTATGCTTAAAATATCGAGTCAGTTGACGCTATCACGACTGTGATAAGAGATCAATTTTGTGACTAATATTTCACAGATAATAAATGATTCTAAATCCCACACCACCAATGTGAGTAATAGAAAAATCTGATATTGCAAAAATTTTTACAAAACATAATTTCTATCCATGATATCCATATCATATATTTTAAAATATCAGCTTTATTGACAATATCGATCAGAATAGCAAAAAATAATAAAAGACTTCATTTGTTGTTCGTAAATTATCAATAACGATGTGTCTTTCATAGACATAAACGAACTCTTTTTTTTTTCTTCTTTGGGGCTGGACGGGAATATTATAATAACAATATTTTTCTATTTATCGAGAGTATAGGAAATACGACGGACGATCTGACAACAAAGTGATCCTATAGGAATTAGGATTTTGGAATGAAGTTCTTTTTCGAACGGTTTAGCGGATGGAGGATTGGCGAAAATTTCCCGTCACATCCTATCGAAGCACCAACTGGCAGCTGGGCGGTTAGTAGATGGACAGCGAGGTGGGCGACCTCTGACGGTTTGGGTTGTGGACTTGCTTTAAAGAGTTTTGTTTGGTGAATGATGGACCGGGAGCCGTGTCGATGGACCGGGAGCGCCCGCACTGGGCACACTCGGCACTGGGCCCATTCTGCACTAGGCTTATTCCCTACTGGGCCCATTCCCACTGGGTCCATTCCACACGAGGCCCATTCAGCACTGGGACCATTTCACACACGAGAGATCGGGCCATGACTCGCCACGCGGGCCCAGAGCGGATTTGTGAGTGGTATATATATTTTTTTTATCATCATCTATTCGAAGAGAGCTACTTTGTTCTCTGTTTACTGGGACAAAAATGGTCCAGGGACCAAAATGGCGTTTTAATCCCTAGGAGCCAAAGGTGATTTGAATTTGGAATTTTGTTAGTAAAAGTTCCAATTACCAAAGAGAAAAATCAAGAACGTTTTATGAACAGGTCACAGTAAAGCCGCGCGTTCGCCAAATTAAATAAAAAAGTTTAGGAAAAAGCGCGAAATACATTACGCCTTCTTTTATTGAGAGTATTTCTCGTCGTGTAATGAGAATGAAAGTATGCTTAAAATCTGATAGTTTATCTACACTAATTTTGTAATATTCGAATTACGAATGTAAAGATGGTTTTATAAAGAAGACCTGTATAATCGTGGTACATACATGAAATTAAAATAAAACTAATAAAATAACAGTACCGCTAACTATATCGTAAAATAACTTTTTATACATTACAATACACTTTTATTTTTAATTAAAAGGACAATGGGCAAAACGCACCCAGCTCCGCCAACAATGTAATTAGTATGAATCGATAGATCTATGAAAAACTAGCCTTTTTATTATGGCACCAAAAAAAAATAACCTGGGGGTCAAAAGATATACACCTGGGTATGTTCTATATTAGGGGTTAAGGTTTCCGCACATAGTCCTTATAGACGACCTTTGTGTGTAAGTCATGGGGACCGGTTACACACGGGCATATTTAAATAGCTCCTTATAGAGAAGCTCGATGGCGCAGGTGGTTAGCGCGTTCGGTTGCGATCGTTGAAGTTAAGCAACTTCCGCAGTGGTCGGTCATTGGATGGGTGACCAAAAACATCTATCTCGAGTTCCTCCGTGCTTCGGAAGGCACGTTAAGCCGTTGGTCCCGGCTGCATCTGCAGTCGTTAGCACCCGTCAATCCGCACTGGGCCCGCGTGGTGGGTCATGGCCCAATCTCCCTATTTCATCCATAGGGAAGGCCTGTGCCCCAGCAGTGGGGACATTAATAGGCTGATGATGATGATATTTAAATAGCTAAAGAAATTCATTCAATATCAATAGTACATTCGATTTATAATATTAGCAATAATAAGTGAGTGAATCATATCTTACTGTACAACCAGATACAAAATACTAAACAACAAAGCCTACCGACTATCCTGCTTGTTTGCTGCTTGCACTTATTGAGACTCCTCAAAACGTCTAACAGGGTATGGGGGTTGAAGGATGTGATATTGCAGTTGCCGTTGCAACTAGTCTACTCGTATGCAGTCCTATGTCTTACATTTTGTGCGCTCCCTGTTATTTCATTGATATTTAACTAACACGCTTTAGAAATAGGAACACGATTATCATCGCGTACGTCATTATAATCGTACGAGCTAATAAAAAATCTATGGATCAATTTAAATGCTCGTACTCAGCACACAAACATCTGCCCCCACCAGGATTCGAACCCGGGACCTCTCGAGCCAGCGACACCATGAAACCCGGCGTTCGTAAAATTGTTCGTAAATTATCAATAACGATGTGTCTTTCATAGACATAAACGAACTCCTTTTTTTTTCTTCTTTGGGACTGGACGGGAATATTATAATAACAATATTTTTCTATTTATCGAGAGTATAGGAAATACGACGGACGATCTGACAACAAAGTGATCCTATAGGAATTAGGATTTTGGAATGAAGTTCTTTTTCGAACGGTTTAGCGGATGGAGGATAGGCGAAAATTTTCCGTCACAACCTATCGAAGCACCAACTGGCAGCTGGGCGGTTAGTAGATGGACAGCGAGGTGGGCGACCTCTGACGGTTTGGGTTGTGGACTTGCTTTAAAGAGTTTTGTTTGGTGAATGATGGACCGGGAGCCGTGTCGATGGACCGGGAGCGCCCGCACTGGGCACACTCGGCACTGGGCCCATTCTGCACTAGGCTTATTCCCTACTGGGCCCATTCCCACTGGGTCCATTCCACACCAGGCCCATTCAGCACTGGGACCATTTCACACACGAGAGATCGGGCCATGACTCGCCACGCGGGCCCAGAGCGGATTTGTGAGTGGTATATATATTTTTTTTATCATCATCTATTCGAAGAGAGCTACTTTGTTCTCTGTTTACTGGGACAAAAATGGTCCAGGGACCAAAATGGCGTTTTAATCCCTAGGAGCCAAAGGTGATTTGAATTTGGAATTTTGTTAGTAAAAGTTCCAATTACCAAAGAGAAAAATCAAGAACGTTTTATGAACAGGTCACAGTAAAGCCGCGCGTTCGCCAAATTAAATAAAAAAGTTTAGGAAAAAGCGCGAAATACATTACGCCTTCTTTTATTGAGAGTATTTCTCGTCGTGTAATGAGAATGAAAGTATGCTTAAAATCTGATAGTTTATCTACACTCATTTTGTAATATTCGAATTACGAATGTAAAGATTGGTTTTATAAAGAAGACCTGTATAATCGTGGTACATACATGAAATTAAAATATAACTAATAAAATAACAGTACCGCTAACTATATCGTAAAATAACTTTTTATACATTACAATACACTTTTATTTTTAATTAAAATTTAATCTATTAGGCTGAATTTGAAAAAAGAAACGTACGCATTTGTAGTTTGAACTTAATTTCCCACGCTTCCTATAAAGTTTTCTGCCGATCGTGTTTTGTTTTCGTAATTTCAGAAAAGCTTTGTAAAATACTTGTTTGTTACCTAGCTACTTTTTTTTAATTTCAATGCTTCCTATGAGTGCAGATAAAAAAGTGTGTGCAACTGCATATAATTTAGGTATTAAAACACTCGAGTCAACCTATTATCGATACGAAACACTCTCGTGTTTTAATACCCCTTCTTCTTTGACAGTCGCGTAAACTATTATTATCTACAAAATTCTGCTCTGGATTAAAAAAACGCTCTCGCCTTCGTTCCACGACACTCACGCATTTTTTTTTCTTTTCAGATAAGAAACCTTAAAATTTTTATCATACTAATACATAGTTTATTTATACCTATTTTAAACTTACTTACGTACGTCCGCACACTCGAAAATTATTTTTATTGCTTCCATAATTCATGTATGGGGCCTTCCTCACCGGGTCGGTCCGGGTTCGTTTCGTTTTCGTTTCTGTACAGAATCTATACAGATTCATATCGAGCGAGTAGACACCTCTCTCTAGCGTGTGCTACCGAGTGCCGAACCATTAGATTCACTCGTCCCGTCATCGCGTCACTACCGCAAACAAAACCGTAGCAAAACGAAACAATACTGCACCAAAATCGAGCCGGTCAAGAATTGGTTCTCAGTAAAAAAAATCTGCATAGGTATTTTATAAGATGCAACCTTACATACGATCACATTTGTTCTTATTTCTGTCAAATTTTAAATATCTAAATACTGGCTGCTTCTACAGACACAGTGACATTTTGCCGTGTAATGGTGTAATACATATCAAACTAATGTCTAAAATGGCCACCGAATCCGGAAATGAGAGTTTATTTTACAGAATCGCTCTACTGTACACATTTGGTACAGAAACGAAAACGAATCGAGTATGCAACGAAACAGTGGGGAAAACATCTGAGTCATTTAGGGTCTGAT